TGACAAATGCATCAGGAATCCCTAACACGCGTAAATTGTTGTTTGGTACCATAGCTCATGAGATGAATGAGAATGTTCACAACTCAAGTGTTTTTTAGAAATGTTTGAAATCTATTCGGAAGTAAAATTTGTACCATCAGAATGCATACTTGGCACAATAATTTTTATTTTATGTCTGAGGAAACTGTAGCATCATTAATACAAATATGCATCTCAAGGGAGACTCAGATTATTGGAATAAAATTAATTTCAATTTGGGAAAACCATTAGAAGTAAACATTTTTAATCATACAAGCTTTACATTCTCAGTAAATACTTAGAAAAAGGTTAACTGAAAATGAGATTATTGTGTGAAAACATTCTTCTATTTTTTATAATTGAGAGATTAATAAATCTGAGAAGCTCTTTTCTATTTCAGTATAAATAATTAAAAATTACCGATACTGCAATATAGTTCACAAATAAATGATATTGTTACTTCATAGTTTATTTTATTTAAGTGTGAGCATTTAACACACAATTCTTGGTATTATGACTGTATATTTTTTCTTCTTGGTTATAAACAAAGGAAACTGTCATGAATACAAAAATTGCAAACTGAAGCTCAGAGCAAGCAGTAATGAAATGTCCTCAAAGGAATCAATAGTGAAAATGGGAATAAACTACAATCTCATATCTTTCTCTTCAGCAAACATTACACAAAATGTCATTGCCTCCTCCATAACAGCAAAAAAAAAGAGAGAAGGCTATAGTGTGGGGCATATGTGTGTGTGTGTGTGTGTGTGTGTAGAGAGAGAGAGAGAGAGAAAGGGGGGGAGAGAAAGACATATTTGGATATTTGTATTTGATTGGTACTGTGGTAATTGCTTCAGATACAAAAGTTCATTTATTCTTTATATAAAAGCTTATGATGTACATATTATTATTCTCTTTTCAGAAGAGGAAATGTGCTTTATAGCAGTTATAAAGTCTCTCGAACTCCATGCACCTACTGCTTGGTAAGGGTAAATTTAATCTCAGGTTGCTCTTGCACCAAGTGCAATCTGTGAGCATACCCAGTAAATATCATCATATTCCCACACCTCTCATGGTATTGTGTAATAAGTTAAATCAGAAACGGCAATTGGGGGAATGGCCTGAAGGTAGTTATGTATGATGACTTGTATATAGTCGCTTATTTTCTTCCATTTAAATTCTAGGTAAGTGTGTCCACTATGCCTCCTATTGCCTAAAAACATTAAAATGGATATCAACCTTGACTTCTCCCTCTTCATTACCCTCTTGCCCCACATGCAATTAATTATCAAATATATCCATTTGGGTTATTTTGTGTTTCTGAAATTGTTATATGTCTTTCCATGCTTGGCACCATGCTGTCCCTCCAGGGCTGTCGCCAAAACAAACTAATAGTTCTCCTGATATCTCATTTTCGTCCTCATTCCAATTGTTTTCCATGAAGGGTCATAATTATTGATCTTTCAAAAATGCACAAGCATGCTTACTTCTAACCCTCCGATGATGCAGCCAGTCCTTGGTGTTCTAGCTCGATAGTCCCTCTTCACCTAGAAAGCTCGCTCAGGGGTGAAATGCCAGCATCCATAGGCCCGGAGCACTGCCATGCTTGGCCTTCTGGTGGTTGGAGTCCCTACACCTCTCCGGCCTGAGTCATGCCTGTCCTAAGAAGTAGTGCTGAGCATACAACCCATTTAAATGATAAGGAAACACACTTATAATAATAATCTGGCTTATTTTTGAACACCTAATTATTAGTCATATATACTATATTAAAGTAGCATCATATAATTTTCTGTTTTGATCCTTTTCAGATGTTCAAAGGTCAGATTTATAAGAATACTGTTAACAAAAGACAAGAATGAGAATTTTCAAGTATTTGACTTATATTAGAACTGACTTGCAATGGACTAATAGAAATGATACCTCCTTTATAAGTCATCTGCTTCCTGAATTTGAGCTCCTTTCTGCCTGTGTACTCTATTATTCATATCAGTCTTTTAATACACCCTGGGTTTTCCCTCACTCTTTATTTGGCCATGCTGCAATTTCTGTGTGTAAACGCCATCTGCTGCCATTTCTACTTTGGGGATCATTTGGAGAATCCTTTGCAGCCGCTTGAGAATGTCTTTTTCAAACGTCTTTTCCTCCAACACGCACCCTCAAATATCCGGTGGAAAGAATAATCGTGCTTCCTCGGCCTTCATGGCGTGCCTCTTATTTCTCGAAGTAACAGCTGAAACATTCTTTCGTCATAGCTGCATATGCATCTTTCCTCCAGATTAAGTATTCACTTCTGAGGAAGATCTATCCTTGTTTGTTAACTTTGCTATTCCTCTTAAAACGGAGGATGAGCAAAGCACCTGGTGTATATTTCACATTGTGTTATTCTGAGTGAGCAATAGAAGCCATCTTCCAACTCTCATGCCTATATTCCTCTAAAGTACTAGCAAAGCTAGGAACCTATAACACCCTTCTTGTTTACATTTTCCATTGGCGTACTTTTCTTTTTGTTTTATTTTATTTAAATCATTTTATTGGGGGCTCATACAACGCTAATCACAATCTACACACAATTACATTGTGTCAAGCACAATTGTACATTTGTTGCCATCATCATTCTCAAAACATTTTCTTTCTACTTGTGTCCCTGGCATCAGTTCCTCATTTTTCCCCTCCCTCTCTACTCCCCCCTCCCTCATGAACCCATGATAATGTATAAATTATTATTTTGTCATATCTTATACTGTCTGACATCGCCCTTCACCCACTTTTCTGTTGTCCATACCCCAGAGAGGAGGTTATATGTAGATCCTTGTAATCGGTTCACTTTTCCTCCACCCTCCTAGTATCGCCACTGGTCCTGAATTTCCTGTGTTTCAAACCTTTGTTGTGTCAATTTTTGTTCAAGAGTTGATTAAAGTGGATGGTTAATATAGACAAGAGGCGATGTTTACATGGTGGTTGGGTTAAAAAGGGTGAAAGTGATGTAATTAAGTCATTTACTCTATGCACATGCAAATGTTATGAATAATAGTATACATTTATATTCCAGCCAATTCCAGAAGCAATTATTATGTGATAATCTCATCTTTTTATATACAGTTGACTTATGAGAGCTTATTATTAAAGACTGCTTACAAATAAGGTGGACTTTCTTATGGGGAACCTTTTTTCTTACAGGATTTGGAGGCTTCTGCGGAAATGTTTATTTCAATACATTTCAAGTACCAGAAATAACAAAGAAGCTCAGAAATACTAACTTGTGTCTTACAAGAATTTACTTGAGATGAATAACCTGAACTGCACATCTCATTCATTTTAACTAGAAATGTACTTTCACAAGGCAGGTGGAAAATTGGTTGGATGTACTTAAATAAACCAAGAAGGCAATCCAAAGGTCCGAACATCCAACCTCTCACTCAGCCAGTGTTGACCCTTCCCCGAACTCCATTTCACATCAAATGAAGCCGGCAATTCACTCAGTTTAAGTAGAACAATTTTCAAATTGTTTTAGAAAAGGTTTTAAAAAGCCTTAATATTTAATTTTGCATCCTTTAATAATTTACAAATGGAATTTAACTATACTTAAAGCCAACGTATTTCTGCTATTAATCATAATCTACTAGCAGTTAGACCCTCATAAGCTAATAGAAGTAGAATGCTGTATCTGCACTATTATTTGAGCACCACGTATAATTTTTTTGTGTATTCACTACTTATATGCATGCTAGAAAATATACATGATTAGATTCACTCATAAAAAGCATGTTAGACAGTATTTCAATCTATCACAATTTCAAGAAATATTTTCTAGCACTAGCACTAAAGAGGCATTTATAACTCAATTGATTTTGAAATGCCATGTGTAGGTCAGAAGGAAGTTGAAAGCAAGAACAATAAGCAGCAAAAATAATACACAGCACTATAGAAAAATTATTACTCACCATTTATATCACTAACTCGAGTCTCTTAAATAAAATCAGGGGAAAGATAGATAGATAGATAGATAGATAGATAGATAGATAGACAGACAGACAGATAGAGACTCCCTCTTGGCTATCTTGACTAAATGGCAGAGTGGCGATGGTATAGCATTTGTTCAGATAAATAGTTACGTGTAGGATATACATGAAAGAGCAAATTAGGTTCTCTATATACACATCTATTGAGTTCTAATATGTTATTTCTTTTACCTACCTACAATTCCCTAAACCTTATATCTATAGGATAGCAGCAGGTTTTGATGATTTATTCTTTTATGCAGTTCTATCTCTTTCAGATTCTTATCTCCACAGGCAATGATTTTGACTCAAAACTACTTCTCTCTGAGATTCTTGAGTGAGAAAAATAAAATTCTCAAGTGTGATTTTTTTTCCTTTTTCATAGTAGTCAATTCCCAAGAGCAGTTCCTTTTTTTAAGAGAGAATTTCTCAAAACCCCGATATATCCCTTATTCTTTCAAATGTACTGGAAATATATTTTCTCTCTTGGGGTATTTTCTGCGACTATGGCAAGTCCTTGAAATATAATTATTCTATTGGATACAATGTGCATGTCATATGCCTTGAACCATATGCCTTGAGTTACTCGTCTTAGACTTTTACCATTTCTTAAGAAAGTTCATCATCCTATTCTTAAAGCCTCAACTAAGCTGAGCAAATTCCGATTTAAGAGAAGGGTAGGTGCAGCAATGACAAATAAGGAATATGCAATTATCTTGTTATGAACTTGCTTTTATTTTCAAAAGGGGGGTGGTCTTTTGGTAACCTCTACTGTAAAATGGGGAAAACAAAGCTGCCTCATAGATTTACTGGAAGAAGTTGAACTAATAGTGTAGAGAAGTAAGAAGTAGGTAACTAAGTAGTTAGTCTAGGTTAGCTATTACTACTCTCATTGCTTATCCTAATAAATATAATGAATGGCAGAATAACTATAAGAAAATTTGGGTGGGCTTGGGCCAGAAAGACAATTTATTGACTTCTTACCTCCAGGGAATCATCGGCATTCACCATCCAACAATCTGTCCAGGTGGCCACAATCAAGAACCCAGCAGAGAAAAAGGCAAAAAAGCAGGCAGTGTACTGAAGAAGGTCCCTCATTTCGGTGAGCACGCTGTCCAGAAGGGACACATGAGCAGATGTCAGCCCTGGACCACTCAGATAGTTGGAGCTCTGTCAGAGACGTCTGTGTTTCTGCTACCTGAGGATGTGAAATCACTGGTCGATTACTTTTCCTCACACCCCGTTGCAGGCATTCTGAATTGTAGTAGGAATAATAGTAACAGGCTGTAACCAATAGAGGGGTCCTAAAGGTCATTATCCCGAGTCACCAGCCTCCAATCCGAAGCCAGGCCGATGGAAGGACTGTGTTCTGGGTGGCTCATTTGAGAAGATGGTCACCAGGAGCAAGTGCAAAGATGGAGAGGAGGGTCCCACCTCATGCGGGAGCCTATACACTGCTCTTTCTCAGGCCCTCCAGGGAAAGTGAGCTATTCTCCTCCCCTCGGTAAGAAGGCTGCACGGTTGACTGAGTGCTACTTTATGATTAGTACTATTTTAATATTCGCTGACTACCTTAGACAGACAGGGCACTAGTGAAACTATGCTAAACCAGGGCTGGCTGAAGGGAGTTTGCATTCCAAAGTGTTGGGCACAGCAGCCCCAGGAAGGGTTTCCAGCACCTGGAAAGCAGGTAGCTCCTTGACTCTTAACCTTTTGACATCTCAGAGTGGAAAAGAGTGTGCATTTTAATTTAGACAGCTCTGGGCATAACCCTTTGTTTTGAAGCTTACAGGCTGTGGGAGGTTGGGTGCAGTTTCTATAAAATGGTGCTATTAATACCTCTTCATAGGGTGCTTGCGGTGATTAAATGATGTTGTGTATCTGAATCATTTAGAGAAGTATCTTACAGTAATAAGTAAATGGCAAATATTAACATGACCAATAATTCCTTTTATTATTACTCACCCCCTCCCCGCATGGGCAAATGCTTCAAAGTGTGTCTAATGGAAAAACAAACCACCTTTACATAGTAGATAAAAATAATGTTTTATAAAGAATTTTGATAGAGCAGGAACAACTAGAGTTTTAACTATGCCTGACTAGGTGACTATCTTGGGAATAAATGATTCATAACCATTCATTAAAACAAAAATTTAAAGACTATGTGTGTCTGTCCTCATTTTATTACCAGACCAATTTGTGTATATTAAAATAATTTGAAATAGTATTTATAAAAATACTTAACACGAATCACAGAGAGCATGAAAGAGGGAAAAAAAAAGAAGCAAAGAAAATAATTCTAGATAAGGCATCACCATGGGAGAAATCAGCTAGTAAGACAGCCAGAGTAGCAACATATCACAGGGATCATTAATTTGTTCCCTCTTTTAATGATTTTATCATAGTATTTAAGGTAGAAGACTAAAGGCACTATTGATAAAATCTTTTAAAGACCATGTCAAGATAATAACTTTTGGTAACCAAAATGTGATTTTTTCTCATCTGTTTTTATTCAAAGGGATTTAATGTAAATTTAAAGGCAAACAATGAATGTAAAAGCTATGAGTGAAACATAGCCTACATTTGAATAGCAGTTGAAAGACTGGCAGACACACCAGAGCTGCCCTAGAAGAGAGGCCAGAGAAGGAGCATCTGAAGGATATTCCGATCTTTGGATGTCTTATGGAACAATTCCATTCTGCCCACACGGGGTCCTCATGAGTCAGAACAGACTCACCATCAGTCTCGTAAGTAAGAATATGTATGTTAATAGTGTGATACAGCAGAGGCAACAACGGGCTCAAGTATACAACAATTTGAAGACACTGCAGGACTGGGAAGTGGTTTGCTCTGCTGTCCATATGCTGTTGCCGAGTGGGAAGTGAGTCAACGGCACAGAGCAACAATGCCATGTTGATGGTACTGATCACTAGTCTATGACTGCACGACAAAGGGCATTTTTAAAGTTTTAGTTTATTTTTCCTAACAACTTGGAAAAGCAACTTAAAATGTAGTTTTACTGTCATATAATCCACATACCATAGATTCAATAGTTCAATAATATTAAGAAGAATTGTACAATCAATGCTGCAATTTTAGAACATTTCTTTTTGTGTGTGTGATTATTGTTATTAGCATCTCATTTACCTCACCACCTCTGCCAGACCCACCAAAAACGATTAATCCAATTACTGTCTCTAAATGTTTACCTATTCTGGATTTCATATACAGAATAGCATATATGCAAAAAACAAAAACTTAAACACGATAACAAAGTAAAACAGAGAAAAGCATCAATAGAAAAGAAAGGAGAAAATATTAAAAACTGTATTTTGATTAAAGTGCTCATTCAGGGAATGCAATTATCTATAGTAAAATCTACACCAAAACAAACTCACTACCACAGAGTCAATCCTGGCTCATGGCAACTCTGTAGTGCAGGGTACAACTGCCCCTGTGGGTTTCTGAGACTAACTCTCTCTCTCTCTCTTTTTTTAACTAAAAAAATCATTTTATTGGGGGGTCTTACAACTGTTATAACAATCCATGCATCAATCGTATCATATGTTGCCATCATTCTTTTCTAGACATTTACTTTTTATTGAGCCCTTGGTATCAGCTCCTATTTATCCCTCCCCCTGCCACCCTTGTGACCCCTTCATAAATTATAAATTATTATTATTTTCATATCTTACACTGGCCACTGTCTCCCTTCCCCCATGATTTCTGTTGTTCATCCCCCTGGAGGCGGAGTGTATGGTTATGTGTCGATTATTGAGATCGGTACCCCCTTCCTCCCCTCCTTTTTTTCCCTCCCCCTCCCCTTCTGGTATTGCTGTTCCCATTCCTGTCCCTGGATTCTGTATGTTGTGAACTCTTATCTCTTATTCTTTATCTGTGCACATGTTCCAGGCTAACCTGCAGGAAAAGACAGTACTAGGGTCATGATAGTAGGGGATGAGGAAGCCTCAAAGAACCAGAGGAATATTGTGTGTTTCATCAGTGCTTTACTGTGCCCTGGTTGACTAATCTCTTCTCAGAGACCCCTTTGTGAGAGGATGTTCCATTTTCTACTGTGGGCTTTGGGTCTCTGCTCTGAATCCCCTTGTTCTCAACAATATGTTTTTCATTTGTTTGTTTGTTTGTTATGGGTCTTCTGATGCCTGTTACCCTGTCCTGACGACACCTCATGATCGCACAGGCTGGTGTGCTTCTTCCACTTGGGCATGTTGGTTCTTTGTTAGATGGCTGCTTGATTAAGTTCGAGCAGCCATCAACACCCCAGATGCTATATCTTTTGATAACTGGGCACCATCTGCTTTCTTCAGTGGACAGACCTGGAATTGCGTATTTGTTGTTGTTTTTCTTTTCTCTTGTGTTTTCTTTTCTTTTCTTTTTGGTCTATGTCCTTGTGGATTTGCCTACTTATATAGGAGACTCTAACACTTTACCAGAGGAGAAAGCCTCATCTTTGCCCCTGTATAGTGGCTAGTAGTTTCAAACACTAAGCTTCAATGCCACCTATAGTATAAGGCAACTATAAAATGTGCATACTGCTTTGTTCAGTCACAAATGATTCTTTCCCTGTGTCCAAAAATCTGAAATGCTCATACTCTGTTGATCTGGGAAAGGAACCTAATTTCAAAAGCACACACCCATTACAGGAAAAGGCCTCTGCTTAGTCTCTAGCTTTCTACCCAGGGAATTTCCACAGCACACTTTTCCAGCTAACAGTATACCCCAGAGCAGTGGTTCCCAAACTTACTACACAATGGAATATCTAAGGCCACAGTAGACCCTAGCGCTTCATCCTCAGAGATTTGAATATAAGATGTTGCCAATGGATGTAAGTCATTCACATTATTTTATTTTGTGCCATGGAGTTGGCTCTAACTATAGGACACCATGCATAGAGAGTTTCCTTTAACTCAATCCTTTCCATATTTTGCAGTACCCTACATAGTCTGCTGCCTGCCTGCCTCTCCAACCTCCTGCCATTGCCTGTGTCCTTGCTGTGGCTTGTTACTGTTGTTAAATGCCCTCAGGTTGGTTCTGGCTGATAACAACCTTATCTACTGACTGGCTCAGTGCCATACTCAGATTGTTCTATCTGTGTGAGCCCATTGTTACAGTTATTATGCCATCTGTCTCCTGGAGGGACATCCTCTTTTTTACTGACCATCTGCTCTACCAAACATGATGCCCTTCTCCAGAGACGAATCTTTCTATTAACACATTCAAAATATGTGAGACAGTCTCTTCATCTTTACTTCAAAGCAGTCTTCCGCCAGTAGGACCCCCAGAAACAGTTTAGCTTGCTTTCTGGGTATGTTATTCATTGGTCAGCATTCAAATGCATCTGAGGGTATTGAAAATACCAGGGCTTAGATCAGGCACACCGTGGTCCTCAAAATGACATCTTTGTTCTTTAGCACTTTAAAAAAGTCTTGTGCAGTAGATTTTCCCAAAGTATTAGTTCATGTTATTTTAAAACACGTCTTCCATCAGCATTGGTTCTGGAGCCAACTAAAATGAAGAGTTCTGAACAACTTCAATATTCCCTCTGTTTAACTGTGGTCTCTTGGTCCACGTGTGAGAATTTTGGTTTTCTCTACATTGAGGTGCAGCATGTTGAAGGCTTCATTCTGTGATCTTCCTCAGTAAATGTTTCAAATCCTCTAGCCTTTCAGCCAGCAGGAGTGTGTTACCTCCCTGTCACGGGCTAGTGTGGAGTCTTCTTTTAAACCTGATGCCTTGCTTTTCTTCATGCAGTCCAGTTTCTTGGATTATTTGCTCAGCAAAGAGATTGAATAAATATAATGAAACGATCCATATATTGACATATGCTTTTTCAGATTTTTAACCATGCAGTGTTCTTAATCATAGAGCAGAGCAGCAAAAGCAAATGGTAGAAAGGACAAGTCAAAGGGTTGAATTGAAAAAATTGTAAGAACAACTTGAAAAAACAAAGCCAAATATTATAGTGAGCAAAATCTTAGAAAACCAAAATGAAGGCCATGGTCAGCATATCTGAAACTAAAAGAACTGAAGAAAATTTTCAAGCCTTGGGTTGTAATATTGAAAAACTCTGTGGGCAAAATATTGAATGATGCATGAAGCATCAAAAGAAAATCTAAAGAATACACAGAGTAACTGTACCAAAAAGAACTATTCCACCATTTCAGAAGGCAGCATATGAGCAAGAACCAATAATGCAGAAAGACGTTTAAGTGGTACTGAATGCATTAGTCAAAAGCAAGGCTGCACACATGGATAGAATACCAATTGAAATCTTTCAGCAAGCTGATGAAACACTGGAAGCACTCACTAGTCTATGCCAGAAAATTTGGAAAATCGATACTTGGTCAACTAATTGGAAGAGATCTGTATTTGTACCCA